GACTTTGTGTGCTGAACTGATTATATGATACTGGACTGTGTTTGATGGATCACACCTTAACTGCGAACGTTGATGTCTGACTGTCTTAATCGTATATGAATTGGACTCTGCATACCTCTATTTCCACAGCAGTAAAATACTATCTGTTTTACAATTCAGTGTCTCCATATGCTGGTTTATGCGTTTCTTCCACACAACTCTCACTACGCTTCTCTGCACGCACTCGTTCTCCTAACGGGGAGCTTACCTAACAGAACCAACACTGATGCTTGCCCCATGCTCGGAGCACCGACTTCATGAGCTTTCTCTCCCACGTGGATCCTTTTATGTCTGTCAAGTGCATTCTTACGGGTGTAGCTTTTCCCACACTCAGCGCAACGATAGGGTTTCTCTCCCGTGTGGATTCTCCGGTGTCTGATAAGGTTGGATTTCCAGGTGAAACGTTCCCCGCAAACTGGGCACTGGCAAGCTTGCTCTCCAGGCCGCGCTCGGTGGGTTGCCCTTGGGCAAGTCCTCTGCCTGTGGCATTTGGCGCAGTCCCGTTCGCACTGGTGCGGCTTCTCCCGCTGGTGGTTTCTTTGGTGGGTCAGAAGGTCGAGCCGGTGAGAGAAGTGTTTCTCGCACTGGGAGCACCTGTAAATCTTCTCTGCTATGTGAGCTCTCTCGTGGGTCACCAATGAGTCGCTCTCCTCGAAGCACTTCCCACAATAGGAGCATTTATAGATCCGTTCATTTTCCATCGGCGCATTTTGACTCTCCGAAGGATCGGCTCTTGGCTGGAGATTTCCAGAGAGATCAAAACTGGCCTCTCTTCCTTGGAGGGTTTTCGCGGGTCCGTTTGCAGAGACCTCGTCACAAAACAAGGCTAAGTCAGACTTTACCTCCGGTAAGCTGACCATGTCCTGCTCAATTTCGAGACTCTCCTGACCGTTGGGGCCTTGGATGAGTGTCCCCAGGGCTCTTTCCAATAATTTCCCATCGGGGTTTATCTCCTTCGGTTTTTCTAGCTGAAAACCATCCTTAGATTCCAGCGTTGAGTTTTCTGATCCTGGAAGAAACCGAAATATAAAAGAGAGAACATACCATAGTTACCCACAGATAGTGCTCGATTTAAAACCATTGGTTTAGTGGCCGTTCAAAGTTAACGACACTGAAAAAAAATGATTTATAATTGGGGTGAAATGCTCTGAAATCGGCTACCTGGAAGCCTTTTCTGAGTCTGCAAAGTAGAACAGCCGGGGACGGGGGGTCGGACAGCTGTGCCGTAAGATTTAGATTCCCCAGAAAGCTGGATTTCTAGGGAACAGCTGATTGTCACACAGCTGATCATCGGAACTTTTTAAAAACTTTTTTTAAGCCGGTTCGCTTTGATCATAAGTCAATTTAGCCACCACTGCTAACTCCATCAACTTTGGCAGCCATTTGTCCATTGTAGGAATCGAAATATCCTTGCTACATTTGTGCATAAAATAGTCTTCAACATATATAACATCAACGTTCCAAATTCCCCCACCACCCGAAAGTCTCTTTCCATTAAGCCCAAAAAGAAAACTTTCTGGTTTTACTTTTATATTCACTTGAAGAATTTTCTGTATTAGATTCTTTGCAATTCTTTGCTTTATCACATGTCCACCATAAATGACAAAAGGTCCTTTCTTTACATTTATATTTCCAAAATGCATTTGAAATACCTTTATACAGGGCGGGGCATAACCTTTTCCTAGGGGGTCACAGCAACACTTGTAATAACAA